GTCCTGAGCTGGGATCCTGGGGCTACAAAAAAGGACAAAGGGATGCCACAGGAAAATCCACTCTGGTCACCAGTCCTGGTGTCCCGATCATGAAATGCTAACGGTGTTTTGTCATTGAAACACTTATTTATAGCCAACTTTCCAAATCTGTCACAGCACACACACTCATCCTTTAGGAAGGTGCCATTTTTTTAAATCACAGGTTGTTGTATTTTTTTTGTTTTGTTTTTCCTACTAGGCTATTGGCTCTAGGAAGACAAGGCCCCTGTTGGGCTCGCTCCCGGTGAATTACCAAGCACCTAGAACAGTGCCTGGCAATCACTAGGTGCTTCTGAGGGGAGGTAAGAGGATAATCAAATGCCAAGGAGAGGTTAATAAAATACTAGTCTACAGGATTTGAGGGTGTAGATCAAGCTTTTATTTGTCGGTTGACTGACTTGTTTTTATGAAATGATTGCCTCTAGTCTCGAGCAACCAACTAGAGATGTTTTTATCCTGTTTGTGGAAAATAAATAATAGGCTATTATGAAGGATAAGTTTGTTTCACACCATGCTGAAGTGCCTAGCACTAAATGACTCCATACACCCAACTCAATCTTCTTAACACAATATGTGTGGTCCATATAGTAAAACTCCTTGGAAGTTTAGACTGTACTTTATTCTTGTGCCTAATGAATTAGCATAAGAGCTTTACACATTTAAGAATCACATACTACCGTCCAAAGCTTTCACATGAAAATGAAAAAGCAACACAATCTCCATGAATTGCTTGCAAGCATTATATGGCAGTAGTAAGCAAAATCCAGCCATGACACATCAGAACAAACACACCAACACATCTTAAATATCAAATACATTGTAACATACATTAACATTCTTGTAGTAGTTATAGTCCCCATCTTTCCCTATATTTTGAGTGATGATCCATTTATGAAGACACATTTCACCTGCAACCTGAAATAGTCATTCCATACTAGAAATCCCTTCAATGCAGATAAGGAATTTTTAGCACACTTCAGATCCAGCCATCACAGATACAGACATGAAACTCTAGTCATCAAAATCAAACATAGCTCCATCTGTATATCTGAGAAAAAGTTTATTTTTCAGAAACTGTAAGTCAAGGAAAATGCAATATGAAAATACAACCGCATCATATATACACTATATTTGTACTCTGAGAAGACTTTTTGATCCCAATATGCCACATATGAAGATGACCTTTAGATAATCCTAACAAAGTTTCTCAATATTCAGTGCAGACTGTTTTAGATTTACTTGACATGTAAGTTAACAATCTTCAAGCTTTGAAGTAGAGAAAGAGTCAATGACACATCCATTTTCAGCTACCGTGACCTATCATTACAGTCATTAAGCAGCATTTTCAAGGCGTAAGCAGAGAGCTTCCTAACTTCCAAAAATATATGATTATCTTCTGTATGGGCTAAGTTATTTAAATATTTAAAACTGCACTTTATAAATTATAAAATTCACTGATAATTGTCTGCATTCTTTCTCAAAGACAAACAGCCTTAATTAAGTTTTAAAAAGCAGCATGGAAACTCAATAATCAAATTCAAACTGTTTATACATATTTACGTGTATGTGTGTATATACACACTCACACACACATACACATACACATATATACACAATACTGTAATTTAGAGGATGGCATGGGTGATGACAGAAAAACAACTTTTCTTAGATAAAAATTAAAGTATTAAATATTTATGTTTCAAATAAAGAACATATTTTCAAATACTAACATTTTTGATCAAGTGGATTTGAAGTAAAATACAGTCTCTACATTATATTTTCTGATATATAATGTCAACATTTATTAAACAACCAATTTCAAAAAGTGGTAAAGTAAACTGATCCAACCCAAAACTATACAACTCTTACTCTGATCAGGGCTTTGTTGACACTGTTATTATTATTTGCTGTTTCCATGCAGCTGTGCTGGGGAGATAGGTAGACATAACACAAAATGTAGAAACACAGAGAAAGAATACCTATCTATTACACAGGTCTCTGTGGCTAGCTACACAAAGCTGAAAGCAAGAAATTTAATGGCTGAGCAGGTCAGACAAGCTAAGTTGTTTTCCACAGTTCCCATCATCTCTTCACAGATCTCTTCACTGCATTCAGTATTTTGTAAAATATACAAAATACGCAGAGAGTATTAAATTCAAAGAAGCTTAAAAATGGCATAGAATTCAGAAGATGCCTTTTGAGTAAGTCCAAAGTCTGTTCAAAAGGCCGTGCCCGGCGGCCAGCCCCTTCATTGCTCCCCAGGCCAATACGCCTTTCTCTGTGACTCACAGATGCCACCATTACCACAGAGTCATCAACACCACGAAACCCAAGGATAAACTCGCTTTGACAATTTACCGTGTCAATATCCATTCAAGAATTTTAGGAGTGCAATGTACCTCACTTGGGAACAGAGGTAGAAACAACTCAAGTTTATAGGTCTCCCTTCCCGCTAAGGGAGTCTCCCAGCCAAACAGGATTAGGGATAGCAAGAGGGTCAACTTTTATGGACCTTTCTTTCTATCTTCCTTCTTTTCATGTGAGCAAAATTCATGCTCACTATATCACCTCTTTTTCTTATGATTTGATCAATAACCTCCTTTCTTCAACTCTGAAAGAACAGTGAGAAATATGCTCATCACCATGAATCACTTTCTTACTTCAGACTCCTATCCTTCCACGATGAACAATCTAAATATAGTCCATGTTCCTGCTGTTTCTCATCTTGCTGTCTTTGCAGACTGAAAGTTCTAAAGGCTTGTTTCTGTTATTTTATTGCTGTGGCAGTGAGACAATGGAAATGATAATTCTTTAGACTACTCCTAAGACTAAAATGAGATTCAGAGATGATAATATAGGTGAAAGCACTTTGCAAGTTGTAAAGTTTAAGATAAAAGTAGTGCCTTTATCATATTAGAATGATTAAAGTATCCCCAATGACTCATAACAATACAAGTAAAAAATTCTAGGAAATTACACTCTACATTAGGGATTAAACTAATCTTAAAAGAAATTAATGTTCTGACATAACCCACAAAGAAAAGCAGGAACATCTAAAAACTAACAAATCATATTTGCCAATGGTTATTTTATCTAAAATAAGTTGAATGAGTGATAAATTTCTATGACATGCTCAATTTTAAGACAAGTTACTTTCATAACATAAATTATCATTGCTACTTGTGGACAAAATTACTGATAGCTTATTAATTCCCATGATTAAAACCCTCTAGCTTAAAAGTTTTTTTTAGAGTTAAAGTGAAATGATTACAGGTTTCATAATATTATCATCAGTTTCCTGGGAAACTTACTCAGGCATAACACTCAAATAAGATTCTAATTTGTTTAAGTCAACATGAAAGAAAATCATCAAAATGGCGAGGCAAACAAAAGAAAACTAAATATTTGCAACAGCTTAGTTCTAAATTAAAACATACATTTCAACCCACACCGAAATATATAACATTCATTACTGTCAAACATTCATCTAAGAAAATACACAATCACTGATATTAAAATTAAGAATTGCAGTATTACTGCTACTAGGTTTACTCTATCGTAGTTAAAATTAAATTGGGTAAAAATAAATGAATTCCAACAAAAACCTCTTTCTGCATACACAGCAATAATATAGTCAAATCCTCATGGGAATGCAAACTCCCTTTCATTCAGGATAAGAACCACTACTAGAAAACTACTTTATGATTCTGCATGGTACTCATATCAGTAGCTTTTAGCCATCTTCTAATGTGTAACATTATCTCAAAAAAAAAAAAAAGTGGAAAACACCCAAGAACCACATCATGAAACTAACCATTTCTGGGTCTTCAGCTTTCACTGCTTCTATATCTAAAATCTAACATTCCTAATGCCTACAAATATCTCTTGCCATTTTATATAAATACCACTCTAAAAAAATATTTAAACCAGGCAAGTAACTGTAATTTAATAGATACATGGTATGATATTAAAACCATCACTTAGTAAAAGATCTGACTGGACCCTATGAAATAAAGGGACCTTTGGCTAAGTATCTGTTATATTGATAAACTTTGACATTTCAACCAAATCTTGGTGACCAAAGTACTCTCTTTCAAACCTTGGTTCCCCAATAGCAAACATTTTTTAAAAACAACAACAACCTCTAAATAAATACTAATTTTAAATTAAGATAAAACCACCTTATTTTCTCATGTGGGAGGCAGCTAAAAAATTCTCCACGAAATACTGACCCCAAACATTGCTTTTATCTCCAAGTATTACCCAGTTAACTCTGAACAGAAATTAATTCAATAGACTGTACAATTAGTTTATCAGTCAGAACAGACTAGTTATTTCTTCTTCTGTAGGTGCTACTGAAAGCTTTTTATTCAAACATCAGTAAAACAACTTGATACATCTCAAAAAAATAATTATTTAAATAATCAGAAGCAAACTGCAAACTGTGCTTAAACAGATGTTCAGGAAACATTCAATATGTATTTGATGTTTTACTTTCAGCCTTGTCATTGGCCATTGGATTGTAACCCAGCTTACATCATTTTGCCACTCCTTACACAGCTCTGGTCCAAATACACAAGAACAGAATTTACTAAATAAAAAAAAAGATGGCAACCTAAGTCAAGGATTTTTTTGTTTTCTCTCGCTTCTTAACACTGAGAACCAAAGGGTACACATTTAAGAACTATAATGCTAAAGACAAAACACTAATAATGTCCATATACCCAGGAATGAATGAATACATAAATGCCAAAAATTCCCAAATGAATGAATGTCCAGGCAAAATACAGGAAGCTAAGTGTCATCTTTTCTCTCAAAATTCTCTCACTATATATAGGATAAACTCAACAATACATTAGAAACCTTTAAAAACCATAGAGACACAACTACCTGACTGAAGATTAACCACAACATTGGAATTACCAAGGGGGAGGGGGGAAATCACAATTAAAAAAACTCACTTAATATAGTATCTTGCACCTTCAAAAGTATATGCTTCTTCCCAGCCAGTTGGCAAATCTGGAAAACATATTTCACAATTAGTATCACATCAGTGGGACAGCAAAGTGAGTTTCAATTCATTTTAATTATTCATTTTCATGTCAGCTATCTTCATTTATTAAGTTTTGGAACTTCCCTCTCCCCCTCCATAACTGTTGGACTGATGATAAGACTCATTTTAGGGAAAATGACAGTTCAAATTTAAAGCCACCAGAAAAACACCATCAATACTCGAGATTATCTGACATGACTACACACTTTAAAAATCAGAGCAGAGAGAATCCAGGCCCTGGCGTCCAAAAAAATGTTAAAAGGTGGGGGGTGGATGTCCTGTAATGCTAGGTGAAACACTCATGAACAGCGTGTAAAAACATAAACACAAAAACCCAACAGTTCATACAAGACAGGACCTAGAGCTTCTTAGGTAAAACCAATCTGTACTACCACAACTTTCAACTACAGAAATGAATCCACCTAAGAAGTGTCACTTGTGAGAATAAGGCTCCATAGTACTTAAGGAGGGGAAAAGAAATCTGACATCCCATTCAGGTGTATTTCTATACACTACACTTTTCGAGATGTTAAGTTTCAAGTAACAAACCTGGGAGTGATGCAGGTCAATCACAGTGTCTAACTTTATGTGCTACATCTTACTCACAAATGACCAGTGGCTGAGATTTAATCATAATACCTCTCTGCAACGTGGCGTGTATAAAACCACAGCGTCAAAGCAAAGCAACCAAAGCAGAAAAAAATCATGACCCTGTCATTCAAAAAAAAAAAAATTACCTTGAAATCGTGTAATAAAATTAATTTTTTTCCATGATGTGTATGTATGTCACCAAATCCGTGGGGGCAGTCAGGACAAACCAAAATAAATGTGAAATAATTTCAATAGCATTGTGTCCTTTGTGAAATCGGTTACTATACATCAAGGCAAAGAAGCCCTCAGAGTTGAAGTAAGCATGTAAAACATCGGAAAGGTATCTTGAAATCAAAAACTGCACCGGGGAGCTAGGGAACATGACGGTGTATTAGTCAGAAAAGCCTTAAAAATGTAACCTCATCCTGTTCGATACACCAGTCTTGCCTTACCTCCTCCACCTTTTTGCAAATTTGGAGGCATTAGTCACATCACTGAACTCCAGGGTTTAATTAAAAAAAGGCAAGTTGTCTAAATTTCTGGCAACTTTAAGAGATTCACAGCATCTCACAAAGTGTCTGCAGGGCAGCTCTGCTGAAAGGCGGCCCTCACCAGCTCCGACCCAAAGTGCTCCGGAGCCTCTCCAACCTCCAGAAACAGAGGCCAGCCAGTCGGGGAACACATGTTTCATTTCAAAGGCAAACAAGTTGCACGAATGTAAACAAAGAATGACAAAAGAGTGCCGGACCAGCCCTTCTCCAGCTCCACTCACATTGAGCATTCAAGCAGCCACCAAAGGCACTAAGGCCCCGCTTCCCCGGCGAACCCCGCAAGCCCACCCCGCGGGACGCCCCCGTGCACGCCCACCGCCTGCTGGCGGTCTGTGCAACCTCGCGCCGCCGCGGGGGACTTTGAGTCCCGCTGGCCCGCACCGCAGCTGCAGGGCTGCTCCGGCGCAGGAGGGAGAGCGCCAAGCGTTTCCGGGGCTGTTGTCTGTCACACCGAGCACCCCCAAACTCCTCTCCGCCTCCTCCCTCAGTCGCCCACCCATCCTCCAGTCCCACCTAAGAGGAGGAGGAGGAAGCTGCGCGGTCGGAGGCGGCTCCGGGGAAAGGAGGAGCACGCAGGAGCCCGGCGGCCGAGGAGCGGGGTCCCGGGCTGCAGGGCGGGGAGTAGGCAAGGACTTTGTGGAGGTTGCCGGCGGCTGAGACTGGGGGCTGGGGGGCCTTCACGCGGAGGGCAAAGTCGGGATTGTGGGGCTCCTCGGAGAGCGGGGAGGGGGGCTCGGCCGAGTCCACCCCGCGGTGTGGGGGTGTCCAGGTGGAGAGGGGTTGAGGGCGCAGGGAGAGAGAGCCGCGGCCAAAGGGTGAAGAAAGGCTGAGCGCAGACGGCGTCCGGGCACGGGGACAACTCCCGCGGCGGGTCGGCCGCCCCTCTACCTGCGCCGGGCGGGCGGGCGGGCGGGAGCGCTCCGGGCTGTGTCGCTGCAGCCCCCTCGGCGCCCCTTGCCCCGCTCACGCTCCTCTCTGCCCCTTCTGTCCCCGCAGCGAAGAGGCCAAGAGCACCACCTGGCTGCACCCCGTCACCGGCGAGGCCGTGGTCACCGGGCACCGGCGG